CCCCCCCCCCCCCCCCCCCCCCCCCCCCGACTGCACAGCCCTACGTCGCTCGGTTCCTCATTGTCCTTACCTTCCTCGAGGATGCCATCCGTCTGTTCATGAACTGGGATGAGCAGGTGCGCCGCCTGGCCCGATGTGCCCCTCTTTCCACTTGCGCGCCCCTGCCGGCATTTTGCCCGCCTTCCCCCCCCCCTCCCCCTCCCCCTCCCCCTCAAGGGGCTTTTGGCCACTCACCCCTTTGCCCTTGTCGCCTGTCAGATGTCTTATCTCATTTCGCGGCGTGGCTTCAACGGCTACTTCGCCATGTTCTTCCTCACGAGCAACATCATGCTGCAGACGCTGGGCAGCTTCATTGTCATCGGCTTCGGCAAGCTGGCTCCCGTGGGCGTTGGCTCGCTCTTCTACGGCTTGGTGCTGCAGACCTTCGGGTATGCCATCTACTCGGATTTGAGCATGCTCAGTCGGACGCTGTCCCTCTGTGGTGGCCTGTGTCTTTTGGCCTCCGAGGCGCTGGACACCCGGCGCGGCCGCAATGCCAAGGACACCAGCCGGCGGAACCTGTATGCCGGGCTCCCGGAGCTGGATGCCTTCGAGCCGGCGGCCTACCTCCAGGTGGCCGGGCGTCTGTTCTACATGAGCCTCATTGTGGCCCTGCTCTTCGACATTGAGATGGACCTGCTCGGTGTTCTGTATGCCATGTTCGTGACGGTCATGTGCGGTGCCGTGATGGTGGGCTTCCATGCGCGTGCCAATGCCGTGCTGCTGGTGGTCATCCTGGTGGTGCACAACTTCACCGTCAACGACTACTGGTCCGTCAGCTACTACCACGTTCTGCGCGACACCATGATGTACAGCTTCTACCAGACTTGGTCTGTCATTGGTGGCCTGCTGCTGCTGGCCAACCTTGGCGCTGGGGAGTTCAGCATCGACAAGATGAAGAAGAGCCGCTGAGGGCCGATGGGCACCGCCGTCTCTCACCGCCCGGGCGAAGCGCGCGAGACACGACCAGAGCCCCGGAGCACGGGCGAGAGCGCGAGAGAGAAAGCCCAAATGGGCGGAGCGGTGGGGAGGGGGGGGGGAGGGGGAGGGGGCGAGACTGCAAGCGAGAGCACTGCGCGATACGCACGCATGCCATGAGTTGGCTGGGTCATGTTGCCTCTCCTTCCCGCATTCCCCCCCCCCTCGGCCCGTGCTGTGAGGGGAGGATGCCTCGCATTCTCACGCCCTCTCCCCCTCCCCCCCCCCCCCCCCCCGTCGTCCCGTGAGAGCGCATGGCCTGGTGCTCTCCTCTCCTTTCCTCCATCTGCCCTCCTCCCTCCTCCCGCCCCCTCTCGTGCGCCGTGTGTGCCCTTCCACCCCATGTGTTGCGGGGGGAGATGGCTGGGAGTGGAGGGCTGTGCGCATATGCCTCCCTGTCTCCCTGTTCGCCGCCTCCCCTCCTCTTCACAAAGCACATCCTGGCGTCTCTTCCAGATGTGGGAACAGATATACCTCTCTCCCCCCTCTCCTCTGTTTCCCCCTTCTCGCACCCCTCTCTTTCTCTCCCGTTCCGAACGGGCTCCCAAAAGTGGAGGTAGGAGCGAGGCGATCTCCAGCAACTCACACATCCCTGTACAATATACATCGAACTGCCAACGATGTCCCTCCCTCTGTGTGTATCGCGCATCCTCCGGGGGCCGGAATGCGGGGGGAGCTGGCCGGCTCGTTTTTTTTTTCTTCCCGAATTGCCCATCTCCCCCCGGAGGAAGGGCCCAGGAGCAGGAGAGCAAGTGTGCCTCGCTGGCGTGCAGGCAAGAGAGGGAAACAGGCTTCCAGTGTGCGGGCGTTTTTTTTTTTCAGGCTCCTGGGTCGCCGATCGAGCCTCCTTTCCCGAGAAGATCCATCGTCCCCTGATTTTGCCCCCCCCCCCCCTCTCTCCTCGCGTCCCCTCTTGCCATTTAGCTCCGCCCTTCGTCCCCCCCCCTCCCACCTTTCCCGATTTTGCAGGCCACGTATTCCCGGTTGATGTCACATTTTCAGCCACCCAACGGCCAGCCGCCCCCGGCGGCCGGTCCTCATCCCGGTGTGGCCCCAGACCACTTTCCATTGAGCGCCATGTTCCTGGGCGGCGCCCCGCACCCGGGCCTCGGGACAGGTCACCCGCAATTGTCCCTGGCGCTGGGATCTCCGAGCGGCCAACTCACACCTGAGCAGCTTGCTCTCGCTCAGCAGCAGCACCAGCTCCAGCAACTTCAGCAGCTCCAGCAACTCCAGCATTTCCACCAACAACAGCAGCAGCAGCAACAGCAGCAGCAACAGCAGCAACAGCAGCAGCAGCAACTATTTCAGCAACATGCACAACAGGCCCCGCAGGCTCAGCAGGAGCCTCATCAGCAAACTTCAAATCTACAAACCAATGGGCCACCCGTCTTGTCGCTGGCGACATCTTCCGGGTCGGCTGATGGCTCGAGCTCGAGTGCTTCGGCCCCCGCGGCGGGGCCCTCTTCACCCACACTGGCCAGTCCGCAGATGACCAGTTCTCCAACCCAGACGCGTGTTTTCCATCCCTCGGTGGCCGAACATGGCGGCCCCTTTCCACACATTGTCCCGGAGGACCTCGCCGCCCTTGCGGCGCATAAGCTTCCCATCCCCTCCGGCGACACATCCTACGCCGCGCACCATGTCATCATGCAGGCCGGCCTGCTGGCGGATGCCGCCGGGCCGCCTCCCTCCATTTCAGCCCTGGCATCCGGGGCCGCCATCACTCCCGGGCAGCTGTCCTTCCAGCGCTTCTGCCACAGCCGTCTACTTCTCGAGCGGCTCCTGTCTGACATCCCGGCGGAGGAGGTGGCCCAGCGGCCGGAGGACCACCGCGATGTCGATCTCCCGGCATACCTCCACGACTCGGCTGCCCTGCAGCAGTCTCTGACCGAGGACCTGGCAGCATTTGACGCGGAGAGTAGTCAATTCTGGGATTCAATTCGCGCCCTGCGTCCGTATGCATCCCCAATCTCGGACGCCGATGACGACTCGGCCCCCGGGTCCGAGTGCCTCACCAAGCGCCCGCTGTCGGTACGTCTACCTGCGTTTGCTCTCCCCCATGCACGGCGATCCATCCCACCCTCACCTCTCTCTCTCTCTCTCTCTCTCTCTCTCCCTCCCCCCTCTCTCCGCCTCTCCTAACGCCCCCCCCTCCTCCTCAGGATGCCGATATTTCCGGCGCCGAGGCCGCTCTGTCCGATCTCTTGGGTGTCCAATTCCACACAGCCGAGCACACCCTGGCCGAGGTTCTTGAGGAGCCACAGGGGAGAGGGGCCCCCTTCCGGCCAATGCAGCGCACCTAGATCATGCTGCCGACTACTCCCCGGCGTCGTGGGCCTCGGCAGGGGCCGCCCTGCCCGGCCTCCCGGGAGTTGTTTCTTGTCCTTGCGCGAGAAAGAGCCCCCGGGCGCGATGGGGATCGGCGGTCCTCAACTGCCACCTCAATACACACGCATCAGATGCCAATCCATTTGCTTTCCCCCGGCGTTCTC